GGCTGTTTTACTATTGTCATATCCTCCCATATTGTTGACTTCTTTTTCCGTTGTTTTTTTTCAAACGGATTTGCTCCTTTAACAGCACCCTTTTCCCCTATTTCTGTTCCTTCATTCGGCTGATCTAAGTGATCTAAGTCCAGCTCTTCTTCGCTCATTTCATCAGCATTAGACTCCACCTCAAGTTCTTGTTTTACAGCTTCATTTCCAACCTCCATAATAGGACTTGTTGACGATCCTTGGTGTAAATGAAATGGAGGACTGTACATACCTATTATTTAAAAGGAAAAATATACTTGAGTCAAGTCCATAAGGAACATATGCAGGAATATATGCAGTCAAGTCCATATGATATTTAATAACTATTTTCAGTTTCCTTTTCGCCATTTCTACAAATGCATGAATCCAAAATAGCAATAAAACCTGAAGTACCATTTATGCAACGAATAACAAACAATTTTAGCAAAAAAATTTTGCCAATAATATATCCTTAGTTTCTTCTAATTCTCAATGGCACATGGGAAACCAATCTCAATTTTAAAATGCAAAAGATATATTTAAAAGTAATCTTCATGAGTGGATAAATTACGAATAACTCATTTAGTAGGTGATTGATTAGATTAAGAACTAAAGTGTGATGAACTTATACTTTAGGGGGTTACATTCTTTACATATTTAGTATCAATTATAATATAGAAAGTTGAATGTATAAATTTATTAGTTGTAGTTTAAGAGTAACTAATTTAGTCGCTAATAAATTATTAGTTAATTGATTTAGTGGGTAGCAAACAACTAAAGAAACTAAAGAAAGGGCAAAAAAAAAAAAAAGAGAAGTATGCTGTCCAAATTAAGCCTGTAAGGCTTTGTGAGTAAAAAATGAACCACCCTTTGGAGAGGCTTTGCAGAGTTGAGGTTAAACTCTAAGATGAAAACTCTTAATTGGAAACCAAATTTGGCAGCTTTAGCTTTGAAGCACTAACATAACAGTCCCATATAACATGATGCTACCCAACTTGGCATTTGAATGACAAAATTTTTGGATTCTTCATAATTAATACAGTCAAAAACATTAAAAAGAGAAAATTGAAGTGTCATATAACGTCTGTACGTATCAAACTTAAATTGGATTTCCAAGACAACAGTCTTCTTTCTGAAATTGCATAAGCTATCCATTTTGGAATGTAAAAACATTACAAAATTAAAAAAATTAACTACTACAGAACAGAAATTACGGGTCATTATTGATTATGCAAATTACAGAAATTACAGAAATTATGCAAAATCCTTAAAAGCCTTGCAAGTAGAAGACGGTCACCAGACATTTAAGTCCTTCTCACATCACATGTTAAGTTTTTGAACCGTAAGCAGCAATGAAACCTAAAACCAGATTTGGGGGCCGAAACACCGCAGGTTCTGAACTCTTGTCATTTAGTATAATTTACCTACGAAAAGAGACAAGACTTACCAGAAATCACGAAGGATTAGAGAAACCAGTCAAATTGGACTGGTTTTGGCCTGGCGGTGGACCGGTTGTTAATGGCAGAAAACAGAGGCTGTGGCCTGTGGGTTGAGTCTGTGGGCGGCGGTGGAGGCAGAGGTTGCTGTGGGTTGCGGCTGTGGACTGCGGCTTGCTGTGGAGTACGGCGGGGCTGTGGGTGCGGCTGCGAGTTGTGGGGTTGCGGGGCTGTGGTTGTGAGGCTGCGGGGTTGCGGTTGTGGATGGGGCTGTGGGTTGCTAGCTGCGGGGTGCAGCAGAGAGGGAGAGGTGGAAATGAAGAATGAAACGATGCAATATCAAGTTATCAACCCTAGTCCAAATTTCTACTTGCTGACTATTAAAATGACAAAAAATACCCTTCTTTGTCGAGCTCAACCGAGCTACTCGGTAAAGAAGCGAGTTCGAGCTTACTCGGCTCGATAACTAAACGAGTATTTTTCGACCTCGAGCCTTATCGAGCCGAGCTCTAACGAGCTTTCGAGCTGCTTGTTTTGCTTAACAGCTATATCATATAAATGTATATATGTATAAATTATAATTTTCAATTTTTATATTATTATATTTATATACATTTATGCATTTATAATATATTTATAAATATTTATAAATAAATACATTTATTAATTTCTAAATAAATATAAATCTATTATGTTATATATAATACATAATATAAATATATTTATAAATATATAAATTATAAATGAATATCATATAAATGTGCAAATTATAATTTATAATTTATAATTTTTATATTTTTATATTTATATACATTTATACATTTATAATACATTTCTAAATATTCATAAATAAATATATTTATATATTTATATAAATATATGTAAATGTATTATATTATATATAATGCATAATATAAATATTTTTATAAATGTATAAATGAATATCATATAAATGTATAAATTATAAATGAATATTATATAAACGTATAAATTATAAATTTTATATTTTTGTATTTATATACATTTATATATTTATTTATAAATATATTTATTTATATATTTTTATAAATATATTTATTTATTTATAAATAAATATTTATTTATTTATAAATAAATATTTATATATTTATAAATAAATATTTATATATTTATAAATAAATATTTATATATTTATAAATAAATATTTATATATTTATAAATAAATATTTATATATTTATAAATAAATATTTATATATTTATATATAAATATTTATATATTTATATATTTATAAATAAATATTTATATATTTATATATTTATAAATAAATATATAAATGTATTATATTATATATTATACATATATAAATGTATTTATTAATGTATATTATTATAAACGTATAAATTATAAGTGAATATTATATAAATGTATAAATTATAAATTATAAATTATAATTTTTATATTTATGTATTTATATACATTTATATATTTATAATACATTTATATATATTTATAAATAAATACATTTATAAATAAATATATAAATATATAAATGCATTATAAATGTGTTATATTATATATAATACATAATATAAATGTATTTATAAATGTATAAATGCATGTTACTATAAATGTGTGTAAATTATAAATGAATATTATATAAATGTATAAATTAATATATCATAAATATATATTAATATTATGTATAGGTGTATTAATATAATAAATGTAAATGTATAAATGTATTAATATTATGTATAAATGTATAATTAATATTATGTATATTTATATAAATGTATAAATGTATTATATTATATATAATACATAATATAAATGTATATTATAAATATACATAAATATATATTATGTATATATTAAATATATAATATATACTCCCTCCGTCCCAAAATTTGGGACGTTTTTTGGGAATAGCACTTTTTATGCACAGTAAAATGGTGGACTGCACTTTTCATATTCTTCCAATTTTACCCCTTGTCTATCACACGAAAATTGCCAGCCAAAAGCAAAAGGTCAAGGAATGGTGAAAGTGTGCATGTGTTGTGGTGGGCCATATGTAATTGTTTATTATTAGTTGATGGAATCTTGTCATTATTACTAAGGGTATAAAAGGAAAGTAGTAGTGAAAGTTGTTTGACTTTTGCCATGAGACTCTTATTTTGGGACAACAAAAAAGTGAAAACATGACATTAACAATGGGACGGAGGGAGTAATATTTAATATTTATAAATTTGTATAATTACATATTTATATTATATATAATTTATATAATACATAATATTTATATAAATATATTCTAGAAATATAAAAATATATTTTTTATAAAATAAAATATAAATTAATATAATATATATATCCTATACATAATTGAAATATACAAATTGAAATAAACATATTAAATATGTATTTGGAGTTATTTTTTATATATTGTTTGGATATAGTGTTTTTTGAATTATTTTTGAAATACACACTACTGTAGCATTTGGAATGTGAAAAACAATTTTTCAAAAACAGACCAAAAAATAAGGAATCCAAACAAACCCTAATTTCCACGATAAAATGGTCTTTAGAGTAGGAAAATTTGAATATACACACATGTATGTATATATATATATATATATAAAGTACTAACTCTAATTAGCCATTTTCTCTCTCTTAGGTAACATGCATAATTATTTGATGGGTCATTTGAATATTTAGAATTTAGCCATATTTGTATCCAAATCCTCTCTAATTAGTTAATTTTTTCATAGTTTTCATCTCTTCTAACAATTTTTATCTTTTCAAATAAACTTAAAATTGAATATTCATTGATAAATGAATTGCTACATCTTGTGTTTTTAATTGAGCACAAAATTAGTTCTAGGTTTACAACCATTGTTAAAATTTAATTATACACGCACATATACATGTATGTGTGTGAAAATATTAAAAATTTAATTAACCATTTCTCTCTCCTAGATAGCAAGCCTAATTGAAGAAAATTTGTAGGTCATTTGCATACTTGAGTTTTATCCATATTTGTATCTAACTCTTCTCTAATTAATATGTTATATAATTTTTCTCTCTTCTAACATATATATATATATATATATATATATATATAAATTTGTTTACCCTTTGTATCAGTACGGTTTAAATTTACTTAGTTTAATTATTATATCTATAGATTTTTTTTTAAAATAAATAATTTATTTATTCCATAAAAGGCAAAATGTTGCGAGGCCATAGAGGCGGATTGCTACTCCCTTACCACGCGGATAGACACAACTCCTATCCTATCAAGGTGATACGCTCCTCTCGCTAAATGGGGTAAAGCTGAAGCAGCTAGATAGACCTCTACCCGACCCTACCGACAACCTTCATTGACCAACAAATCAGCAACCTGATTAGCCTGACGATAACAGTGACGAATGCATGAAAAATGGAATGTCAATCCAACTAATTGCTGCACCTCCTTATAGATGCTCCATGGGCACTGAGATGCCCTATTTAGAATTTGCACTAACACCAAGGAATCCAGTTCAACATCAAAGGCATCAAACCCCCGCTAGAGGCATAACTGGACTCCAAAAAGCAAAGCACAGGCTTCAGCCTGCATACTCGAAGCGATTCCAAAATTACACGAAAACGCCATGACCAGCCTACCACTTGCCTCCCGAAGCACCCCTCCACCACCACTCACCCCAGGGTTACCCTTGGAACACCCGTCCGTGTTAAGTTTTAGGGCTCCGTGTGAGGGCCGTACCCATTTAACCAGCATATGTGACACTGCCCTATTCCAACTTGAAATCTCCAGATAAAAATGTAACCAAGATAGCGTCGAAACCCGGCATTCCAGGAACTGTACTCGAAACATCTCCAGAAGATCGGAAAAAATATAACGACAAACCTGAAGCCCGCCAACCGTCTTGCCTTCATATTTGACGCCATTCCGAGCCTTCCAAATGTGCCAACAAATCAACAGAGGGATAACCTGGTGAACAAACATCAGAAACTTATTGCGGTGCCTTCCTTGCCACCAGGCTGCCATATAGACGTGGAAGGCCGACCCAGTCCAGGCAACTCCAACCGCATCCCCAAAGTAATGCCAAATGTGATTCGCCATGTCCCCCGCAGCGAATAAGTGCTCCACAGTTTCGACCTCAGGAGACGAACAACACACACACCGTGAAGGCCCATGTATCCCCAACCGCCATAAGGTACAGTCCAACGGGAGGCGCTCTCGTAGCAGACGCAGCAGGAAGAATGAAATTCTCAAAGGCACAGCATAATGCCAAATACGTTTGAATAATGGTGAAGGGGAGGAACGATGTTGGACTATTGAGAAAGCAGACTTGAGCGTGAAGCGCCCCGAATGCTCTGGCCTCCAAATCATCAGATCCGGAAGCTGCCCAGCAGGAGGATCCTCCCGAACAATCTCCGAGGCTATCTCCTGAGGCACCCACTGCAAAATCCGTCTGACATCCCAAGCATCCTGTTGCACAAAATCCGCTACCTTATGATCGGATACATTATCCAACCGCACCGACAATCCGCCCGAGCCAAGCCAATTGTCGAACCAAAAATTAGCACTCCCTGACCGCACAATCCATCCGATGTGTCTTTCCGCAATATTCCGCACCTTCACCATCCTTCTCCACACCTCTGAGCCCTTAGCCCCAGAGACTAGATTCGAGTGCACCTGCCGACAGAACCTAGCATGCATGAATTCAGCCCATAAGGACGAATTTGCGCGAAAGGTCCACCATAACTTGATCGAGAAAGCCTTATAGACATCCTCCAATTGGCGCAAGCCAACCCCCCCTTCAGCATGTGACACACACAAATCCTTCCACCTAATCCAATGGTGCTTGGTACCCCCCTCTGTAGCTCCCCAAAGAAAATTAGAAAACATGCCCTCAATCTCCTGAAAAATAGATTTGGAAGGTGATGCCGCCATTAGCAAATAAGTAGGCATAGATGAGAGAACATGTTTCACCAGCACTATCTTCCCTCCCTGCGACAGCACCCTGTTCTGCCAAGACTGAATCCGAAGTAGGATTGCTTGACATAATCCCCCAAAATATTCTTTCTTCCGTCGCCCGCAATACAGCGGGAAACCAAGATACTTAATTGGGAAAGGCGTATACTTAAAGCCAGTCAACCTCTGAATTGTCAACTTCTTGGCGGGACATATCTTTGGGTGAGCCAAGAAGCAACTCTTCCCCGCATTGATCCTTTGCCCCGAAACAGCCTCATAGTCAGTCAAAACTCGCTTCACTAGCCGTAAGGATCTTGTCGTTGCACTAGAGAAAACAAGTACATCATCCGCATACCCCAAGTGAGTCACTAGGGGGCAACCCCTTGGAACGCCAAATCCCTGAAACCCTCGACAGCAGGGCAAGTTGTTTAGAGATCGCGACAACACCTCGGCCCCAATTATGAACAAGGCAGGGGATAGCGGATCCCCCTGACGCAGCCCTCGTGCTGATTTAAAGAATCCATGCAAAGTCCCATTGACAACCACAAAAAATCAGACATTCGAAATGAGCCGCCAAACCATATCAATCCATTGCTCCCCGAACCCAAAAGCCCTAAGGACATTGATCAAAAAAGGCCACGCCACCCGATCATATGCTTTGTCATGTCAAGTTTCAATGCCACATTCCCTCCTCTCGTTTTCCGACCTATATTGGAGATCAGTTCCTGAGCGAGTGAATAATTATCCGAGATTAACTGCCCCCGGACGAAGCCACTTTGATTTGCAGAAATGATTTTGGGAAGAATAGACGCAAGCCGAGCCGCCAGGATCTTAGAAATAATCTTGTTCACGAAATTACACAAGCTGATTGGACGGAACTCTGAAAATTCTTTGGACTCGCTACCTTGGCCAATAAAACTATGGAGGTGGCAGTTACCCGCCGCGGTAGTTCTTCACCACAAAAAAACTCCGCACAGCGTTATAGACATCTCGACCAATTATATCCCAAGTGGAGGTAAAAAATTTGCCAGTGAACCCATCTGACCCAGCAGCACTATCCACATCCATCGTAAACACCACTTGCTGAATTTCATCGAAAGATGGCATGTTCTGCAAAAACTCATTGTCTTCCAATGACACCATTTTAGGAATGACCCCAACCGTCGCCGAAGAGGCTGGATCCTCCTCCATCGAGAAAAGAGAGGAGAAGTACTTAACTGCTTCAGACCCAATACGCGCATCCTCAGTCACCCACTTGTGATTGGAATCTTGAATACCATGAATCACAGCCTGCATTCGCCGTTGCTTCACCACGGAGTGGAAGAATTTTGTGTTCCTATCCCCCAACTGCAACCATTTGACTCTCGACCGTTGCTTCCACAAGACTTCCTCCATGGCTAACGCACGGTTAAGCCGAGCCTGGGCCTGATGTAACCGCAGTAGCTCATTATCAGATCCCCCACCTACCATACCTTGTTCCAAACCAGCTACTTCCGCCTCCGCCTTCCTCACATTGTTAGAGAAATTGCCCACTCGATCCTTGTTCCACGCTTGAATTATCGGCCTTAAGCGCTGCAGCTTCCTACAGAGGACGTGCACCGGCGGCCCCATACACTCTTGCTCCCAAGACTGCTTCACCACCCCCCTGAAATCGTCATAGTCAGCCCACGCATTTATGAATCTAAAACACCGAGGCTTGCCATCCAACCGGGTAGACACCGCCATAAGCAACGGGGCATGATCCGATGGATGTCGCGCCAAATGGGAAACAGTGACAGACAAATGTATGTCTAAATATGCCGCATTCAGCAAAAGACGATCTAACCGCTTCCAAATTCTTGCCCTACCGTGGCGATTATTACACCAGGTAAAGTTCGGCCCTGAGAAGCCCCCATCGAACAATCCCGCAGAACCCATACATTCAACAAAGTCACTAGCCTCAACCACTCTAAAAGGCCGCCCCCCTCTCTTTTCCCATGGTTCAACGACCACATTGAAATCTCCAACAACAATCCAAAGCTTGTGATGCGGTTGACACTGCAACAAACCGTCCCAGAGGACCCTCCGAGCCTCTAACGTAGAGGCAGCATATACTGCAGTAACAGTAATTGGAACTGACACATGAGGGTGACAAATTTCTAGAGAAAAAAACTGATCTCCCTCAGTCATCACCGAACAAACAAGAGGAAGGTTATAAAAAGCCCATAACAAACCCGACGAATGCGTTCGAACACAATCAAATCCTAATCTAATACGATACTCCTCAGCGCGGGACACGTGAACATGAGTTTCACAAACAGCTGGAGCTTATTTAAACCTACTATCTTTTTCAATTTCCTAAAATGAGAGGCCTTAGAGAGACCCCTTACATTCCAAAATAATGAATTAAGCATCAGAAAGGGAGGTGCACGAGTCACATGAGGTTCTTACCGTCGACCGGAGCTCCCTATCCAAAGGAAATTTTTCTAGAAATTAAATATTCCTTCACAAAAAATAATGTTTGGATCTTTAGTATTTAATTTGGTACAAATATATAGTTCTAGATTTATGAACATTTCATACAATTTTAATTATCTCAAAAAATATCTATCAATTTTTTGCGTATACATTATAGTATTAATCAATATTATTATATTAAATGCTAAGAGAATATGGATATCCGAATATGCAACTATACCTACGGTACAATTTCTCTCAATTAATTAAGTAATGAACAAGTATCTATATGTAGTTTCGAATTAATAATTGTAATCTATACATTTTTTAGATGGTTTTAGGCTAAATATTTTTGAATACTTGCTTACATTCAAAGTATCAACATAGACAATATGTTCCATGAGTTATGCAAAAATTGTGGATAGCCATGTCAATCTCATTTTGCAAAAATTGTGTGTATCCATTGTAATGACGTAGTCGACATTATTGTCAGGTAATTATTTTCATATATTTAGAATTTAATATAGTTTTTTGCATCATACATCACTAATTATTCTTAACAGATAAATTGTTAACATAGACGTTAGAGATTCTAGTGGTAACCTATACCTTGCTCTTCAATACAGCCCTGCACGATTCATATTTCGTTGTAATGCTTCTTATCTTAGAAATTTAAACACAAAGGTATACATTATTTATATGTATATATTTTTATACAATATTATTTACAAACTGTCTAAAACAAAAGATAATTTTGAATTATGTATGCTTTTAATTGTCCGGAAAATGGAGATGCATTGTTTGACCAACACATTAATTCATGCAAAAATCGTGCATTCTTATTTATAGTACGAACTCCACAAAAATCAACAGAATTAATTAAACCCTAAATACTAGCGTTCGTACTCAGAGTTGATTGGTGTGAAGAATGTTCACACCTTCGTAGAAGATTACCAAATCAAAGGCAAAATGTTTGTAAGTATTTCATTTACTTATCAAATTAAATATTCAATTATATTTAATTGGACCCTTATGTCGCTCAATTTATGATATAAATTTCTATTTTTTTTAGGATTCAACCTTCATCAAAGCGATAGTTTAAAAAGTCAAGTTAAGGTGGTGGAACGTGTAGGTTTACCACCCCACGGCTAGGGTTTAGGCGTCTCTCTTCAACGTTGCGGAGGTACCTCAATTTATGACGGCTACTTGGCCGCCAAACCTTGGCCATGGAGAACTACCCCACCCCTCTAAGTCATTTGCGGACATTGTAGCGGGCGGTGACCTCTCTGCGGGAACGGATATTGGGATTCTGGGTTTCCATAAGGGGGAACCTGCACTCGTGCTGTCTCGGCAAGAACTGTTGGGGCTAGCTGAACCCTACAATAACACATTAGTGGGGAGATTCGCATTCAACAGGCCAGCAATAGGGATCGTTCAACGTTTCTTTATGACGCTGGGGTTGAAGGGATTGTGTTCGGTGGGATTGCTGGACGCTAAACATGTGCTGATACGACCAGAACTTGAGGAAGATTATACGAGACTGTTTGTTAGACGCACATGGTTTATCAACAACTCTCCCATGCAAATCTCTAAGTGGACAATTGACTTTAAGGCTGGCCAGGATTGTGCCATAGCCCCCATCTGGATGAACCTGCTGGGGCTACCTCTTCCTTTCTTTGACAGGAAATTGTTGCTGAAAATAGGCTCGCTGATAGGGAGGCCGCTGCAGGTGGATGCGGCAACATTGAGCATGAAGTGACCATTCGTAGCCAGGCTTCTAATTGAGGTTGATGTGGCCAATCTTCCAATAAAGAGGCTTTGGCTAGGAGATGACCAACATGGGCAGTGGCAGAAGGTGGAATTCGAAAGTTGGCCTGCTTTCTATGGGCATTGTGAGAGGTTGGGTCATGAGGAGCAGGAGTGCTTTCGCTTCCACCCAGAACGTAGGCCTGTCCGAAGGGAGATTGGGATTCCCAACCAAGCCTACATACCGAAGGAGCACAAGGAGAATGAATCCGTGATTGCGGCTCTCCTCGGCAAGCAGGAACAACCCATAGTGGTGGCAAGACAGCGAGATGCGGAGCTGGTTGTGGAGCTCCAGGATGGGCTCCAGCAGGGTGGGACAGACTTGCCTGCTGCTCATGTTGTCCAGCCCACGGTGGTGGCAGCAGGTCCGCCTTTAGGGCTTCACGACGTTAATGAGGAGGATGGGCAGCGGGATGGGCACCAGGGGAGGGGTTTGGATTTGGTGGTGGTTCTGACCGCAGGCGAGGCAACTCAGGAAGACACTGTCGCAGCAGGGGCGGAGGGCAGCCAACCGGGGAAAAGTGGTGTGGTGGTACTGGACAACTCCTTTGCAGTCCTAGGTTCCATGGAGGACGGGCTGGAGCTGTCGTCCCCTCGAGCAACGAAGGGGGGTCGCTCAGTAGGAGTCCCATCTCCCTTGGAGTCGCCGCGAGCTCCGCCTTTGTGGCGATCATGCTCAATGGATAGGCAGCTTCAGGAGTACTGCTCGGTCCTTGCATTGAAGCAGTTTAAGGAGGCTTTGGATCACCGACTGAAAGACTCTCCTCTTCTGGATGCGCAGGTGCCTCAGGGAGCAGTGATTGATGCCCGCGATGCGGCGCTGCTGAACAACGTTTCCAAGAAAATAGGATGACCCGTAAACTACAATAAGAAGTTGCAACTATTTTTCTCTCAAGCTAAGTTTTCTATCTTACCTCATGATAAGTCGCATTAATATTCTAATTTGGAATGTACGGAATATCTCCCGTAAGGATTCTCAAAGGTATCTGCATAAGTTATGTGTGGATAATCACATAAGATTACTTGTTTTGATTGAGGTTATGACGGATGCTTCGCAATTACCTTCAATTTGTCGTATGTTGCACTTTTCAAAGGGGTGTTTGGTTTTGGAAGGTAAAATGTGGGTTTTGTGGCAGGATGAGCTGGTGGCCCAACTCCGTAAAGTAGGGGATCAACTGGCTAACATGGAGATAAGTTGGGGGGGAATTACCTTCCTATTCTCGGCAGTATATGCTAAATGTACACGAGTAGGGAGACGGGAGTTATGGAAGGCGATGGAGTCAATCCATGGCATTAATGAGGGCCCGTGGATGGTGGTGCGTGACTTCAATGTTATTTTGAATTCCCAAGAGCGCTCCGGGGGGCACCTCCTAATCTCCGTAACATGGAGGAATTTAACGACTCGATTTTCAAAGTGGCCTAGCGGAGGTGGACTTCGATGGTTCGGCCTTCACTTGGACAAATGGGGCACTTTGGCAGCGTTTGGACAGAGCTTTATCCAACGCCGCTTGGTCGGAATTATTTTCTACTACTACTGTCTCACACCTAATGCCAGGTTGTGCGGACCATGCTCCGCTCTTGATCAAGAGCGGATACCCAAGACACGAATCCCCGGCTTTTCATTATCTAAATGTTTGGAAACGATACCCAAACTTCTTGTTAGTGGTTCAATAGGCGTGGCATGGGTCAGTTAATGCCGACGGTATGGTGGGTTTCATTGGAAATTAGTTAACCTTAAACCGATCCTATGGCAATGGAGCAGGCAAGTTTTTGGTAACATTTTCCAGGCTGTCAAGGAAACAGAGGAGGTACTCCGTCAGAGCGAGAAGGAGTTCAATGAGAGGCGGGATGCATTAGCGAAAGGAAAGCTAGAGGAAGCTCGGGCAAGTTATGCGACGGCGCTGGCTGTGGAGTGCGAGTTCTGGCGACAAAAATCGTCAATCAGATGGCTTCGTGAAGGGGATGCCAATACCAAATTCTTTCATTCCGTAGTCAAGTAACGGCGAAACACGAATTTCATAGGTTTGATAAAGGATGAGACGGGTCGTTGGGTGGAGGACGAGGGTGCCATTAAACGGCCACTCAATTTTATCAAAACTTGTTCACGTCGGAGCGTCAGGACATGTGGCTCCCCTGTTGGATTTCCTGATCCCAAGAATCACTCATGGAGACAATGTTTTACAGCGCCCTCCTATTTTGGAAGAGGTCAAAGAAGTGGTGTTTTCGCTCTCTCCTAAGAGCGCTCCAAGCCCAAACGGCTTCGGGGCTGGCTTTTATCAGACATGTTGGCAAATTATAGGCGAGGATTTGGTTGATGCGATTCAGGAGTTCTTTCAGGGGGTTCAGCAGTCGAAGGGATTCTCAAGTGCAGCTATTGTGCTGATCCCGAAGGTGCAAGGGCGGCTCAATGGAAAGATTACCGGCCGATCAGTTTCTGCAACGTGAGCTCGAAAGTGATTTCCAAAATTTTGGCGAATCGCCTCCAGGCCATGCTTCCTAGGCAGATCTCCCTTTGGTAGATAGGTTTCGTACCAGGGAGGGCTATTACAGAGAACATTTTGCTAGCTCAGGAGCTAGCTTTGGACCTGGATAGGAAGTTGCGCCATCCCAATTTGATGTTGAAACTTGACATGGAAAAAACATACGATCGGGTGGAGTGAAATTTTCTCATTTTTATGCTTCGCCAATTTGGGTTCCAGGAACAAGCAGTCGATCTTATGTTCAGAACAGTATTGAATAATTGGTTTTCGATTTTAATCAATGGTTCACCAGGGGAGTACTTTAGGGCCTCTAGAGGAGTTCGGCAGGGGGATCCCCTCTCTCCAGCTATGTTCTTATTGGTGTCAGAATTTTTGGGGAGAGGGCTACAGCACCTCTTCGAACAAAATAAGAGTTGGTATTATGTCTCAGCTGGTTCTCGGGTCCCG